AAATTCCAATGTGTGCGGATCTGCAAAAAATGTGAAATAACCCTTTAACTGTACATTTTACATATACGTGGCCATTGACTTTTTCGAAGATCTTATTGAAATACACGTGTATGTCAAATTTTGTGTCATTTTGACAAAGCGTACAGGCGTGACACTCTACAATGTGTATTTTCACCTTAGGGGACAAGAAAAAATGGACTTTTTTCTCCTGCCATGGGGGGGCGCTCTTTTGGGGAGTAAAAATTCCTTCACAAATGTGTTGATAGCTGGACATTGCATCATCCTAGAAAACTTGGAGGCCAGTGAGGACAAAAATAAAAAGTTATAAGACTTTGAAATATGTGGATTTTAGGGTTATCTTTGGCGCCCCCTAGAACCTAAACCGTGGGGTGCAGCGTCATGATTTGAATAACTTTTAATGGCCATGGGGTGTAGATTGGCCTGAGCAAATGTGGTGCCGGTGGAACGCCAGCCTTAGGAGGAGTTAGCGAAATTCCAATGTGTGCGGATCAGCAAAAAATGTGGAATAACCCTTTAACTGTACATTTGACAGATACGCGCGCATTGACTTTTTCGTAGATCTTATTGAGATACATGTGTGTGTCAAATTTTGTGTCAATATGACAAAGCGTACAGGCGTGACACTCAACAATGTGTATTTTCACCTTAGGGGACAAGAAAAAATGGACTTTTTTCTCCGGCCATGGGGGGGCGCTCTTTTGGGGAGTAAAAATTCCTTCACAAATGTGTTGATGGCTGGACATTGCATCATCCTAGAAAACTTGGAGGCCAGTGAGGGCAAAAATAAAAAGTTATAAGACTTTTAAATATGTGGATTTTAGGGTTATCTTTGGCGCCCCCTAGAACCTAAACCGTGGGGTGCAGCGTCATGATTTGAATAACTTTTAATGGCCATGGGGTGTAGATTGGCCTGAGCAAATGTGGTGCCGGTGGAAAGAAAGCCTTCGGAGGAGTTAGCGAAATTCCAATGTGTGCGGATCGGCAAAAAATGCGGAATAACCCTTTAACCGTACATTTGACAGATACGCCCGTACTGACTTTTTTGTAGATCTTATTGAGATACATATGTGTGTCAATTTTTGTGTCATTTTGACAAAGCGTACCGGCGTGACAGTCAATAGTGTGAATTTTCACCTTAGGGGGCGCTATGGAGCCATTTTGCATTTTCTTGTTTGGGCGACTTCGGAATATCAAATTTTTCACCAGGCCCGGTCGTCCTGCCAAATTTCATGAGTTTTCGCCAGTGGGAAGTGGGCCATTTTCCAGTTCAAAGGGGAGGAAAAATAATAATAATAACAAAAGAAGGAAACTACAGGAACAAGAGGGCTCTCGCAGCTGCTTAGCAGCTACGCTCGGGCCCTAAAGAAGAATCCATCAGGAATAATAGGGCTCTCGCAGCTGCTTAGCAGCTACGCTCGGGCCCTAACTAGGACCCCGTTGGGGCACTGGCGGGCCCGAGCTGTGTCGCGTCCCCCCCCCAACGCGCTGCCTCCCCGTCCCATTTGTGTCCTCTGGCCATCGCCCTCTCTGGTAACGCCCATCACTGCAAAGACCCTTTTCCTTCATCGGCGTTTGCTGTTCTTCCTGCCAGTGCGTGTTGCTTTCACTTACACTTGCCACAGCCAGCCTCGTGAGTGCCTAGCCTATTGGATATCACTGTCACCTACACAGGACAGTCATTACCTTTCTATTAATACTTTGTTTTTTAATTTCACATTAATTTCCATATTGTATAAACAACTGGAAAAAACTTGAGCCCCTGCCCCTGTATAATCATGTGCACGTCTCTGTTCTAGCTCTAAGGTGAATCTTCACTGCTCATGTTCTCCTCAGAAGCAGTCACCTCACTCCCCTCAGGTTACTGTACACATGCACCAACTGCCTGCTTCAGGTTTGGATGGAGCTTCATGGTTGTCTTTTGGAGAAATGACCAGTCAAGTTGTGTTTGAAATTTGATTTTTTTCAGGGGCAAAAGGAGCCTCTGCATTCTTGTCAAATATGTAAATAGCATGTTTTTGCAGGTGCTAAAAACCAGACTCTGAGTGTGTGTGTGTGCGTGTGTGTGTGTGTGTGTGTGTGTGTGTGTGTGTGTGCGTTCAAGTCACATGACATATTTAACCGGCTGTAGCTGCAAGACGGAGCCTCGTTGACTCTCCGTTTCAATTTATCTCAAAAGTGAGGACCTCAACCTATATACCAGTTTTTAAATTGTGTTGATAGGCCAAATAAAACCAGAGTTATGATAAATTATGTCCGCGATACTTGTTTTCTGCTTATTTTGATCACGTTCGGCGCTCGATCGCGCTGTATGAGACAGGAAAACATAGCATGCAGACATTAGCGACAGGTCTTACAGGCGGAAAAGGCTTGCCAAAAGAAAAAAAAAACACACCACAACATCTCTCCTATTGGTGGAAAACTTCACCACAACAACCAATCCAAAATTATATGGTGACTGATTGACAAGGGGCGGGAACTTACGTTCTTCCTGCAATATGAGAAGGGAGGGAGGGACTCTCAGCAGGGATGCAGTCTGGGACACGTAGTTGCAAACCTAGCGACTTTGTTGTTAGATTCAATGACTTTTCAGACCCCCTAACGACTTTTTTTTAGAAAGAAAGTGACTTTTATCGACTTCTTCTGGAGTTTAGAGACTCTGACATGAAGCAGGCTTTCCTTACTGAGGAGTTAGCAACGCTGCTAAGGGTGCAGAGCCACACATGCGCTCCGAGCTCTGCATGGGAGACTGAAGCTGACAGAGCTGCAGCAGTTAGCAGGTTTCACCCTCAGAGACCACCAGGGGTTCATGTTGAGGCATTTTCAGTTTTTTTTTTTTTTTTGCCATAGACACTGTCAGCACAATCTGCAGTTACACTAACAAAAATGCTGCAAAAAACAAAGAATTATGGAAAAATTACACATGGACTAACATAGAGGAGGATCTACACAAGTTTTTTACATCATGTTTTACATCATGCATCATTTACATCATGTTTTTTTGTAGTGGCATAAATAAAAAGTGACATTTGTGAGACTATACAGTGTTTTGTAAATAATTTTACAAAGAACACCTGGGCCATTGCCTGCATTTTGATGTCAATAGAGGTAAATTACTATGTTCTTTGTTAAAAATTTGCATATGTTTTGAAGTTTACAATTTTTATTTGAAGTTTAAGTTTTAAAAACAGTTCATCACACATATTTGTGGTTTTCACAGTAAAAATGTTACTTTTTTCCACTCGGATTTTATGTTTTGTGTGTGAATTTGGGTCCAATGTGTAAATATAGTATGTCAAAATGATAAAATAACTGTAAATTGACACAGGTGAGGTTGTGCTGAAAAAAATGATACCAGGCAAGGCAAGGTAAAAATTTTGTAAGAGGAAATATAAAGGTAAAATCTAAAGTAGTCAAAAACGGCCAATAGTGACTCACAGACTCCACAGACAAGTCCCTTTGGCGCCACTCAGTGGGCAAAACTACTTTGTCTACTGTAATGTATATTTGGGTCATCTTTGGCGCCCCCTAAAACGTAAACCGTGGGGTGCAGCGTCATGATTTTTACAACTTTGAATGGCCATGGAGTGTAGATTGGCCTGAGCAAATTTGGTGTCAGTGGGACGAAAGCCTTAGGAGGAGTTAGCGAAATTCCAATGTGTGCGAATCGGCAAAAAATGCAAAATAGCCCTTTACCGTACATTATACAGATACGCGCTCTTTGACTTTTTCGTAGATCTAATTGAGATACACATGATTGTCAATTTTTGTGTCATTTTGCCAAAGCGTACAGGCGTGACAGTCAACAATGTGTATTTTCACCTTAGGGGACAAGAAAAAATGGACTTTTTTCTCCTGCCATGGGGGGGCGCTCTTTTAGGGAGTAAAAATTCCTTCACAAATGTGTTGATGGCTGGACATTGCATCATCCTAGAAAACTTGGAGGCCAGTGAGGACAAAAATAAAAAGTTATAAGACTTTTAAAAATGTGGATTTTTGGGTTATCTTTGGCGCCCCCTAGAACGTAAACCGTGGGGTGCAGCGTCATGATTTGAATAACTTTTAATGGCCATGGGGTGTAGATTGGCCTGAGCAAATGTGGTGCCGGTGGAACGAAAGCCTTCGGAGGAGTTAGCGAAATTCCAATGTGTGCGAATCGGCAAAAAATGCGGAATAACCCTTTAACCGTACATTTGACAGATACGCGCGCACGGACTTTTTTGTAGATCTTATTGAGATACATGTGTGTGTCAATTTTTGTGTCATTTTGACAAAGCGTACAGGCGTGACACTCAACAATGTGTAATTTCACCTTAGGGGACAAGAAAAAATGGACTTTTTTCTCCTGCCATGGGGGGGCGCTCTTTTGGGGAGTAAAAATTCCTTCACAAATGTGTTGATGGCTGGACATTGCATCATCCTAGAAAACTTGGAGGCCAGTGAGGGCAAAAATAAAAAGTTATAAGACTTTTAAATATGTGGATTTTAGGGTTATCTTTGGCGCCCCCTAGAACCTAAACCGTGGGGTGCAGCGTCATGATTTGAATAACTTTTAATGGCCATGGGGTGTAGATTGGCCTGAGCAAATGTGGTGCCGGTGGAACGAAAGCCTTCGGAGGAGTTAGCGAAATTCCAATGTGTGCGGATCGGCAAAAAATGCGAAATAACCCTTTAACCGTACATTTGACAGATACGCCCGCACTGACTTTTTTGTAGATCTTATTGAGATACATGTGTGTGTCAATTTTTGTGTCATTTTGACAAAGCGTACAGGCGTGACAGTCAATAGTGTGAATTTTCACCTTAGGGGGCGCTATGGAGCCATTATGCATTTTCTTGTTTGGGCGACTTCGGAATATCAAATTTTTCACCAGGCCCGGTCGTCCTGCCAAATTTCATGAGTTTTCGCCAGTGGGAAGTGGGCCATTTTCCAGTTCAAAGGGGAGGAAAAATAATAACTAGGGCCCCGTTGGGGCACTGGCGGGCCCGAGCCGCGTTGCGCCGCCCCCAGCGCGACCGCCTCCCCCTCCCGATCGCGTCACACTCAAGGTCCAAAGATGGTGTGCGCACTTGTCTGTGGTCATTTCCCATTATAATGAATGGGAGGCGCAGTTTCTACCAAAACACTCGCTGCAGACAAACTCCATGTCCTATTTGAAAAAAGTCTGGACCATGAGTGAGGGCACAAACACAGCTAGGATATATCCAAACGGCAAGTTGCTCCTCGTTACGGTGTTGCCGGGAGAGCGATGCGATTGAGCCATTGAGTGATGGGCAGGAAAAACTTGACTTTTTCTCCTGCCATGGGGGATGGGGGATGGGGGATGGGGGGGGGGGGATGTGGATTCTTTTAAGAATGTGGATATTTGGGTCATCTTTGGCGCCCCCTAGAACGTAAACCGTGGGGTGCAGCGTCATGATTTTTAAAACTTTGAATGGCCATGGGGTGTAGATTGGCCTGAGCAAATTTGGTGTCTGTGGGACGAAAGCCTTAGGAGGAATTAGCCACATTCCAATGTGTGCTAATCGGCAAAAAATGCAAAATAGCCCTTTAACCGTACATTTTACAGATACGCGCGCATTGACTTTTTCGTAGATCTAATTGAGATACATGTGTGTGTCAAATTTTGTGTCAATATGACAAAGCATACAGGTATGACAGTCAACAATGTGTATTTTCACCTTATGGGACAAGAAAAAATGGACTTTTTTCTCCTGCCATGGGGGGGCGCTCTTTTGGGGAGTAAAAATTCCTTCACAAATGTGTTGATGGCTGGACATTGCATCATCCTAGAAAACTTGGAGGCCAGTGAGGGCAAAAATAAAAAGTTATAAGACTTTTAAATATGTGGATTTTAGGGTTATCTTTGGCGCCCCCTAGAACCTAAACCGTGGGGTGCAGCGTCATGATTTGAATAACTTTTAATGGCCATGGGGTGTAGATTGGCCTGAGCAAATTTGGTGTCAGTGGGACGAAAGCCTTAGGAGGAGTTAGCCACATTCCAATGTGTGCGGATCGGCAAAAAATGCGCAATAACCCTTTAACCGTACATTTGACAGATACGCCCGCACTGACTTTTTTGTAGATCTTATTGAGATACATGTGTGTGTCAATTTTTGTGTAATTTTGACAAAGCGTACAGGCGTGACAGTCAATAGTGTGAATTTTCACCTTATGGGACAAGAAAAAATGGACTTTTTTCTCCTGCCATGGGGGGGCGCTCTTTTGGGGAGTAAAAATTCCTTCACAAATGTGTTGATGGCTGGACATTGCATCATCCTAGAAAACTTGGAGGCCAGTGAGGGCAAAAATAAAAAGTTATAAGACTTTGAAATATGTGGATTTTAGGGTTATCTTTGGCGCCCCCTAGAACCTAAACCGTGGGGTGCAGCGTCATGATTTGAATAACTTTTAATGGCCATGGGGTGTAGATTGGCCTGAGCAAATGTGGTGCCGGTGGAACGAAAGCCTTCGGAGGAGTTAGCGAAATTCCAATGTGTGCGGATCGGCAAAAAATGCGCAATAACCCTTTAACCGTACATTTGACAGATACGCCCGCACTGACTTTTTTGTAGATCTTATTGAGATACATGTGTGTGTCAATTTTTGTGTCATTTTGACAAAGCGTACACGCGTGACAGTCAATAGTGTGAATTTTCACCTTAGGGGGCGCTATGGAGCCATTTTGCATTTTCTTGTTTGGGCGACTTCGGAATATCAAATTTTTCACCAGGCCCGGTCGTCCTGCCAAATTTCATGAGTTTTCGCCAGTGGGAAGTGGGCCATTTTCCAGTTCAAAGGGGAGGAAAAATAATAATAATAACAAAAGAAGGAAACATGCAGGAACAAGAGGGCTCTCGCAGCTGCTTAGCAGCTACGCTCGGGCCCTAATAATAACAAAAGAAGGAAACATGCAGGAACAAGAGGGCTCTCGCAGCTGCTTAGCAGCTACGCTCGGGCCCTAATAATAATAACAAAAGAAGGAAACTACAGGAACAAGAGGGCTCTCGCAGCTGCTTAGCAGCTACGCTCGGGCCCTAACTAGGACCCCGTTGGGGCACTGGCGGGCCCGAGCCGTGTCGCCCCCCCCCCCCCCCAACGTGCTGCCTCCCCGTCCCATTTGTGTCCTCTGGCCATCGCCCTCTCTGGTAACGCCCATCACTGCAAAGACCCTTTTCCTTCATCGGCGTTTGCTGTTCTTCCTGCCAGTGCGTGTTGCTTTCACTTACACTTGCCACAGCCAGCCTCGTGAGTGCCTAGCCTATTGGATATCACTGTCACCTACACAGGACAGTCATTACCTTTCTATTAATACTTTGTGTTTTAATTTCACATTAATTTCCATATTGTATAAACGACTGGAAAAAACTTGAGCCCCTGCCCCTGTATAATCATGTGCATGTCTCTGTTCTAGCTCCAAGGTGAATCTTCACTGCTCATGTTCTCCTCAGAAGCACTCACCTCACTCCCCTCAGGTTACTGTACACATGCACCAACTGCCTGCTTCAGGTTTGGATGGAGCTTCATGGTTGTCTTTTGGAGAAATGACCAGTCAAGTTGTGTTTGAAATTTGATTTTTTTCAGGGGCAAAAGGAGCCTCTGCATTCTTGTCAAATATGTAAATAGCATGTTTTTGCAGGTGCTAAAAACCAGACTCTGAGTGTGTGTGTGTGTGTGTGTGTGTGTGTGTGTGCGTGTGTGTGTGTGCGTTCAAGTCACATGACATATTTAACCGGATGTAGCTGCAAGACGGAGCCTCGTTGACTCTCCGTTTCAACTTATCTCAAAAGTGAGGACCTCAACCTATATACCAGTTTTCAAATTGTGTTGATAGGCCAAATAAAACCAGAGTTATGATAAATTATGTCCGCAATACTTTTTTTCTGCTTATTTTGATCACGTTCGGCGCTCGATCGCGCTGTATGAGACAGGAAAACCTAGCATGCAGACATTAGCGACAGGTCTTACAGGCGGAAAAGGCTTGCCAAAAGAAAAAAAAAACACACCACAACATCTCTCCTATTGGTGGAAAACTTCACCACAACAACCAATCCAAAATTATATGGTGACTGATTGACAAGGGGCGGGTGCTTACGTTCTTCCTGCAACATGAGAAGGGAGGGAGGGACTCTCAGCAGGGATGCAGTCTGGGACACGTAGTTGCAAACCTAGCGACTTTGTTGTTAGATTCAATGACTTTTCAGACCCCCTAACGACTTTTTTTTAGAAAGAAAGGGACTTTTATCGACTTCTTCTGGAGTTTAGAGACTCTGACATGAAGCAGGCTTTCCTTACTGAGGAGTTAGCAACGCTGCTAAGGGTGCAGAGCCACACATGTGCTCAGAGCTCTGCATGGGAGACTGAAGCTGACAGAGCTGCAGCAGTTAGCAGGTTTCACCCTCAGAGACCACCAGGGGTTCATGTTGAGGCATTTTAATTTTATTTTTTTTTGTGCCATAGACACTGTCAGCACAATCTGCAGTTACACTAACAAAAATGCTGCAAAAAACAAAGAATTATGGAAAAATTACACATGGACTGACATAGAGGAGGATCTACACAAGTTTTTTACATCATGTTTTACATCATGCATCATTTACATCATGTTTTTTTTGTAGTGGCATAAATAAAAAGTGACATTTGTGAGACTATACAGTGTTTTGTAAATAATTTTACAAAGAACGCCTGGGCCATTGCCTGCATTTTGATGAAAATAGAGGTAAATCACTATGTTCTTTGTTAAAAATTTGCATATGTTTTGAAGTTTACAATTTTTATTTGAAGTTTAAGTTTTAAAAACAGTTCATCACACATATTTGTGGTTTTCACAGTAAAAATGTTACTTTTTTCCACTCGGATTTTATGTTTTGTGTGTGAATTTGGGTCCATTGTGTAAATTCAGTATGTCAACATGATAAAATAACTGTAAATTCGCACAGGTGAGGTTGTGCTGAAAAAAATGATACCAGGCAAGGCACGTGATTGTCAAATTTTGTGTCAATATGACAAAGCGTATAGGCGTGAATCTCAACAATATGTATTTTCACCTTAGGGGACAAGAAAAAATGGACTTTTTTCTCCTGCCATGGGGGGCGCTCTTTTGGGCAGTAAAAATTCCTTCACAAATGTGTTGATGGCTGGACATTGCATCATCCTAGAAAACTTGGAGGCCAGTGAGGACAAAAATAAAAAGTTATAAGACTTTTAAATATGTGGATTTTAGGGTTATCTTTGGCGCCCCCTAGAACCTAAACCGTGGGGTGCAGCGTCATGATTTGAATAACTTTTAATGGCCATGGGGTGTAGATTGTCCTGAGCAAATGTGGTGCCGGTGGAACGAAAGCCTTAGGAGGAGTTAGCCACATTCCAATGTGTGCGGATCGGCAAAAAATGCGGAATAACCCTTTAACCGTACATTTGCCAGATACGCGCGCATTGACTTTTTCGTAGATCTTATTGAGTTACATGTGTGTGTCAATTTTTGTGTCATTTTGACAAAGCGTATAGGCGTGACACTCAACAATGTTTTTTTTCACCTTAGGGGACAAGAAAAAATGGACTTTTTTCTCCTGCCATGGGGGGGCGCTCTTTTGGGGAGTAAAAATTCCTTCACAAATGTGTTGATGGCTGGACATTGCATCATCCTAGAAAACTTGGAGGCCAGTGAGGACAAAAATAAAAAGTTATAAGACTTTTAAATATGTGGATTTTAGTGTTATCTTTGGCGCCCCCTAGAACCTAAACCTTGGGGTGCAGCGTCATGATTTTGATAACTTTTAATGGCCACGGGGTGTAGATTGGCCTGAGCAAATGTGGTGCCGGTGGAACGAAAGCCTTCGGAGGAGTTAGCGAAATTCCAATGTGTGCGGATCGGCAAAAAATGCGAAATAACCCTTTAACCGTACATTTGACAGATACGCCCGCACTGACTTTTTTGTAGATCTTATTGAGATACATATGTGTGTCAATTTTTGTGTCAATATGACAAAGCGTACAGGCGTGACAGTCAATAGTGTGAATTTCCACCTTAGGGGGCGCTATGGAGCCATTTTGCATTTTATTGTTTGGGCGACTTCAGAATATCGAATTTTTCACCAGGCCCGGTCGTCCTGCCAAATTTCATGAGTTTTCGCCAGTGGGAAGTGGGCCATTTTCCAGTTCAAAGGGGAGGAAAAAGAAGAAAGAAAGAAAGAACTAGGGCCCCGTTGGGGCACTGGCGGGCCCGAGCCGCGTTGCGCCGCCCCCAGTGCGACCGCCTCCCCCTCCCGATCGCGTCACACTCAAGGTCCAAAGATGGTGTGCGCACTTGTCTGTGGTCATTTCCCATTATAATGAATGGGAGGCGCAGTTTCTACCAAAACACTCGCTGCAGACAAACTACATGTCCTATTTGAAAAAAGTCTGGACCATGAGTGAGGGCACAAACACAGCTAGGATATATCCAAACGGCAAGTTGCTCCTCGTTACGGTGTTGCCGGGAGAGCGATGCGATTGAGCCATTGAGTGATGGGCAGGAAAAACTTGACTGTTTCTCCTGCCATGGGGGATGGGGGATGGGGGATGGGGGGGGGGGGGGGGGTAGGGATGTGGATTCTTTTAAGAATGTGGATATTCGGGTCATCTTTGGCGCCCCCTAGAACGTAAACCGTGGGGTGCAGCGTCATGATTTTTAAAACTTTGAATGGCCATGGGGTGTAGATTGGCCTGAGCAAATTTGGTGTCAGTGGGACGAAAGCCTTAGGAGGAGTTAGCCACATTCCAATGTGTGCTAATCGGCAAAAAATGCAAAATAGCCCTTTAACCGTACATTTTACAGATACGCGTGCATTGACTTTTTCGTAGATCTTATTGAGATACATGTGTGTGTCAAATTTTGTGTCAATATGACAAAGCATACAGGTATGACAGTCAACAATGTGTATTTTCACCTTATGGGACAAGAAAAAATGGACTTTTTTCTCCTGCCATGGGGGGGCGCTCGTTTGGGGAGTAAAAATTCCTTCACAAATGTGTTGATGGCTGGACATTGCATCATCCTAGAAAACTTGGAGGCCAGAGAGGACAAAAATAAAAAGTTATAAGACTTTTAAATATGTGGATTTTAGGGTTATCTTTGGCGCCCCCTAGAACCTAAACCGTGGGGTGCAGCGTCATGATTTGAATAACTTTTAATGGCCATGGGGTGTAGATTGGCCTGAGCAAATGTGGTGCCGGTGGAACGAAAGCCTTCGGAGGAGTTAGCGAAATTCCAATGTGTGCGGATCGGCAAAAAATGCGCAATAACCCTTTAACCGTACATTTGACAGATACGCCAGCATTGACTTTTTTGTAGATCTTATTGAGATACATGTGTGTGTCAATTTTTGTGTAATTTTGACAAAGCGTACAGGCGTGACAGTCAATAGTGTGAATTTTCACCTTATGGGACAAGAAAAAATGGACTTTTTTCTCCTGCCATGGGGGGCGCTCTTTTGGGGAGTAAAAATTCCTTCACAAATGTGTTGATGGCTGGACATTGCATCATCCTAGAAAACTTGGAGGCCAGTGAGGGCAAAAATAAAAAGTTATAAGACTTTGAAATATGTGGATTTTAGGGTTATCTTTGGCGCCCCCTAGAACCTAAACCGTGGGGTGCAGCATCATGATTTGAATAACTTTTAATGGCCATGGGGTGTAGATTGGCCTGAGCAAATGTGGTGCCGGTGGAACGAAAGCCTTCGGAGGAGTTAGCGAAATTCCAATGTGTGCGGATCGGCAAAAAATGCGCAATAACCCTTTAACCGTACATTTGACAGATACGCCCGCACTGACTTTTTTGTAGATCTTATTGAGATACATGTGTGTGTCAATTTTTGTGTCATTTTGACAAAGCGTACAGGCGTGACAGTCAATAGTGTGAATTTTCACCTTAGGGGGCGCTATGGAGCCATTTTGCATTTTCTTGTTTGGGCGACTTCGGAATATCAAATTTTTCACCAGGCCCGGTCGTCCTGCCAAATTTCATGAGTTTTCGCCAGTGGGAAGTGGGCCATTTTCCAGTTCAAAGGGGAGGAAAAATAATAATAATAACAAAAGAAGGAAACTACAGGAACAAGAGGGCTCTCGCAGCTGCTTAGCAGCTACGCTCGGGCCCTAACAAGAAATCCCTCAGTGAGTAGTTACTGTCAGCAAATTCTTGATAAATCACCACTCTCTACTCTAACACTAGCCTGGATAGTTTTTTCACGCTTTAGTCAAAGTCTATGCTAATTTGTAAAAAGTGGTTTCTGCCCCTAGTCATGCAAATGATCACATATTTGGAAAGAAAGTTAGTGTCAATGCCAAAGTTTGAAACTGTGCTTTTACCATGCCAGCAACTATCAAATAAAAAGAAAAAATGTGCCTATCTCTTATTTCTTGGAAATGGGGCAAGCGCCATTTGCTAATGTACACGATCACGATGTCCATAATTTCCACTCACACACCTACACTACAAGTTAGACTCCTGTCTCTCAGAGGAGATATGTATTCCAGTCAGTGGAGTGTGATTTTTATCTGCTGGTAGATACTCTGTGTTCAAAGACTTGTCACTGTGATGCTGTTATGAAGCCCATAAAAAGGGACACAGACAGCAAAGACGGAGAGGACATGAATAACCAAAGCCTTATTATCGGTCCTTTGTAGATTCCAAGGCTGGAGAATAGCAACACAGATGAGTGTTAGTGCCGTAGTCCAGTAATGTGCTGCCAGAATCATTACTCTGAGAGCAAATGGAAGATATTACTGAGCAGCTTTTTGTGCTGCAAACCAGATAATGATCCAAACAAACAGATGAGAGACTCACTGCTCTAGTTCTTTTTTTTATGTGCATATTTGTTCCACTTACTCCAGACTGTGGAAAAAGCATGTTCATCGTTCCTCTGAGAATAACAAAAACCAAGATATGCTCATACCTGGCCTGGCTTTGAGGCCCTGGCTTTGAGAGATGGAAGAGAAAGACAGAAGGAGAACTTGAGTGAGTGAAAGGGAGCGAGTTGTAAAAGATGAGGAAATTAAACCCAGACAGAGACATTTCCAGAAGACGTGAGTCACCTGAAAACCAAACACAAACAGAAAGCCTAGTGCCAAGAGAAGTTGATGGTGAAAAAGGGAAAACTTGAGTAACTACAGGCTGTTATTCAACGTTGAGCAAGTAAACAGTCAACCGAGCTCTATCAGTTGTGACCCCAGAGCTGGGTTGCACAATGTAAGTGATGATTACGATTCAACAGCAGCTGGTGAGCATCCTTGCCCACAGGGTTACCGTAACAAGGTCACAGTTTACATAGCAACAAACCAAAAAGACAGCCAGGGTGTGAAGAGGAGAAATGCTGAAACAGAAGGCTTCACACAGCCTCTTAGAGCAGCGCCACTGAGTTTCTGTCCCCTTCACTGAACCCTAGAGAGAGCAGAGAGTCCACCAGGATCAAGAGAGCACACTTGATTGATCATCAGGAGGCTGGCACAGGGGTTTGTGAATCCAGGGTTTTTCAGAGTTATGGGGCGCTTATGCCAGCAGCAAAGGATGGGGACCTATCACGTTACTGAAACTACACTCCACACAGGGGACGACAGCTGTAGCAGGATAAGCCAGGCCCATCAGGGAGCATACCATTAGTGGTGGTAGTGTATGTAAACAATGGAAATGTTCAAAAAAATACCAAAACAGCCTCAACTTTCAGCTCAACTTTCAGCTTCAACAACAAACAGCGTCAGCCGGAACCCAAATGATGAATCATACGCAATCCTGTCTTTCATAACAAAGCTCCGTGCTTAGATTTAGAACCTACTGATGGCTGTAATTATAAAGGGTGATTTGTTTGCTCTGTCTTCAGCATGTGGTTGTAATTTCATGACCTTTCAGGCCACAGAGCATCAACACTGTTATAGGATACTTTCATAACACTGACACCCCGCAGTCAGAGCTCAGTATCAGAGCTTGCAGTTTCCATTATTGACAAAGCTCATTAGGTGCCTGGTGATGTTTAAAATTAACCGATTCCTCTGTCATTTCAGTGAATATTCATATTTCAGCTAGGAGAAGTCTTAGGCATAAAAACTGAAGATCAAAAACAGTAAAAATAGAGCACAATACATCTTGCACAGGATGTGTATCACTTCCCTATAGTAAATTTACCTTTTGTTATCCTACAGTTTCATGTGTTTCCTGTTTTATTTTGATACTCACCTGTGTCTTGCTTTAGATCCTCCACTTCCTGCCTTCCCGTGTTCCCATTCTGTGATGACCTGCCCACCTCCCTAATGTGTTTCACCTGTGTCTGATTGTCTCCACTCACCTTGAGTATTGAGGCCTTGTACACACATAGCGTACTTGGTATTTTTATAAACAAATATCCAACCCCCTACCTTTGAAAAAAAAAAAAAAAAAGTTACAAACACACATCATCGTTTTCCAATAAAATCCCATCCACACAAAACTCCATAAATGTGCTATTGACCGTGGTTATAAACATGCCAGACCTGGAGTTGTTAGTATTTGCCAAAAAACTTTAGACCCATTCTATCCAATTGTCCTGACTTTCACAAACATGAAACACAGAATGAATAGGGTTGGATATTCGTTTATAAAAATACCTGGCTACATGTGTACAAGGCCAAAGTCTCTGTGTTCCTTTGATTCAGTGCCAGTTTGTCTCTTACCGGTGTGAGTTTCAGTCTTTTTCCGTTGTCTACATTTTTTAAGTAAAAGTTTTTGATCTTTCTTACTGGTATCAGGATTTGTGTATATTCCTGATTAAACATTGTCACTCTGGCTTGTATGCAGCAAAATCACAGGATTTATTTATTTATTTTTCTTTGCAAAGACATATTGGTGCATAATTTCAATGTGTACAAGCAAAGCAAAGGAGGTCTACTTTGACAGCAACATAATTAAAATATCAGTCACAATCACAGCCCAGGCGATTTCTTTCATCTCATGCTAGTTAAAAAAAAATTCCCACATTATTTGGGCTATAGTTAATTAATAACCAACATTATAAAAATTATTATAAACTCAAACACTACAAAACCCAACACCAAAGAGATCTGCCCGGGAACTCAGAAGTCATGGCTCCAAGAGCAGAAAACACTGTCTGGAACCAATCACACTGTGCTATCTGATGTGTGTGCATGTGCATTTGTCTTGTCTGTCTGGATCTTGGTTCTTTCTGGATCACTGAGGGAGTACAGAGGGAAGAGGGAGGAGCTCGAGCAGAGGAGCTAAGTGATGGAGGGGCCTAGAAGAAGACGAAAAAAAACCTGTTGACTGCCCTTATCAGTGCCACCCACATATTTGTGAGTGCGATGGGGATGCTACCTGGAGCCTTCCCCCCTGAACTGTGATGCTAATCAGTCTGCACTCAACGCCAAGCTTCGAGAAGCCTGAACAGCCTGAAAAGACGTCAAAGTGAGACAGGACGTCCTGATAATGATCTGAGTGATATGGCAGAATCGAGGGACAGGCTGAGGAAAATAACAGCACCGAGGCCATAGCACAGGATCAGAAGGAAAGAAAACCCAATCTCATTTAGCACGAACTGAGAC